GATGTAAATGTCTGTTGTTTAAGCCACCCACTCTGCTGTATTATTTTATCATGACATCATGAACTAATGCACCAAATTTCTGCTCAAAGTTCTTCTGTTACCCTCAGCAACTACTGAGGCGAACAAAAAGCACCTATGATGCACCTCATGCAGGTGACTTCCTGTGAGCTTAGTAAAATTAGTTTTAAATCAAATAGTTGTAGTTATGAGAATGTTTGGCAGATATTGGAGCTCTCTGAGGTCCTCAGAACCTGGCCTTACACATGGGCACAGAGCTGGTACCAGCCTGCCTCACAGCCTCCTCCTTTACTCTTTTTTATTTTTTATTTTTTTCATCTTTTTGAAGAAACTCTCAAAAGTAATTGTCACTGAATACTTATCTCATTTGGTGAACAAAATCATTTTTCTGTCAGTGTTTTTATAAAGTCATCTTGTGGTCTTTAAGACCATGTTTAGACAGAAGCTATCAAAAACTACAGTAGAAACAGGAATTCCCATTGCACATGCCACGGTTACTTGCTCCAAAGGGTTTATTGGATTCACAGCCAATAGAACAGCAGATATGGCTCTGGCACAAAATCTCTAACCTGGACTAGAAGGTGATTCCATTTAAACTAACTTTTAAAATGTCACGAAAGCATAATTAATATTATTTGGAGTTGTCAAGGTATTTGAGTCACAGAGACTGCTGATCTTTTCAGGTTTCTTTCATCAGTGAAGAAATACAATGTTTACAAAAGAGCAACTTGAAATTTCAATCAGGATTATCTAAGGATCCTTTGTCCCCAGTCGGGATGCCTATGGTGATAGACATTGAAACTACTAAAGCAAAATACTTTAAGGGATCTAGTGACAGAAGATAAATATGATGTTTATTAGTAAGTTAGTAGCGCTTAATTTACAATTTCTTAGGAATTATCAATACAACCAATTATAATAAAAGAGAAAATTAGTTGTATGGCCTCTAGAGTACTCATTCAAGGAACTCTTTTATTTTCACCCCTTTTTAGCATCCATGTATGGTATTTACTCCTGAGTAAAGAATGTCACTACAGTAAGTGGTATATGGATAATTTGCTCTTTCTTTCTTTCTTTTTTTTTTTTTTTTTTTGACCTGGGTCTTCATAGTATATAGACAGGCCACTTGTGCCAATTGAATCACTGCTTTTTTTTTTTTTTTTTTTTTTTTTTAAGGTTTAATCAGAGGACTTGTGCACGTGCTGAATAGAGGCAGAGAGAGCAGAAGTGAGAAATCATCTCCTTGGGGGGATGGCCATGCTACATTCTCTTCTCCATTCTTCTCTTTGGATTTTGAGTGCATATGCACATGCACCCGGTGTGTTTTTCAAGTTGCTGGGTCTAGGACTTGAGCTGCTATCAGTTGTGTGGGAGTTCAGCACCTTAACCACCATGCTACCTGCTGACCCCCACTGGCTAGTTATTTAATTGGACTCAATAAGTAGTCCAATTCCTCATGGTGGCTTACAAGATCATACACAGTGGAGCCTCCTTCCACCACGTTTTCTCTTGTTCCATACATTCTAATCATACCGGTATTTCAGTTTATAGAATACATCAGAACTATTTCTTTTTTCTTTTCTTTTCTCTTCTCCTCTTTTTCTCTTTCTTTCTTTATTTTGTTTTTCCTTTCTTTATAATTTGCCAGAGGGTATAAGTACTAACTGGAGAAACAGAGAGAGGGAGAAGAGAAAGCACTCCCCACTCCTGGTGTTGGGCGGGCCATAATCCCTTCTCCTTCATTTCTCCTTTCTTGCAGGATTTTGGACATGCATGCACACACACTAGCATGTTTCTCAAGCTGCCAGGTCTGGAACTCAAACCACATAGTCAGCCATATAACCCAGCTGCCTTGAGCACCGGGCACAGGCTGACACACAAACCCGTTTCTAAACTTGGCCTTTGCACCTTGGCTCTGCATGAGAAGGTCTTTCATCAGAATATAACAAAGCTGCTTTATTTTCCCCATCTTCTTTGCTCAGATGGTACCTTTTCAATAAGGTCTTCATCACCTTCCATTTAAAGAACCCCTCCGTTCTCAATCACTATTTATCTTAGATAGCTCATCTTCAAAACATTTATTATTATTTATTCTTATATGCTTACATTTTTAGGGAAACATATGTCATGTAATCCTATCACAAGGGACTAGAAGAGAGTAATACATTTATCAGTCAGTTAGTTAATACATGTTACAAGTAAGAGTTACACTAATGGAATGGTTATTTGGGCATATATAGAGAGGATTACAGATGATGTAAATTAATTTTCAGCATCTATATTTGTGTCATGAGCCTTCATATCCTTCACCCTGACAACTTTATAGTAGACATCTGTGGAAGGATCTTTGTTTTCTTTATGGACAACTTTTATTTATTTACTTTTTACTCAAGAGCACATGTGCTTGCCAGAGGAAACACAGAGTGAAAAAGAGCACCTTTATTGGGAGTGTGATCACATCACAATCACTTTTCCTCCATTCCTATTTCTGTCAGGATTTTAGGTACCTACAATCACACAAGTGCACCAGACATATTATATAAGTTGCAAAGCCTGGGATTTGAACTGTGGTTGTCCATGTGGGATCAGGCTCCTGATCTGCTGAACGATGAGGTCAGTCCTCCCTTCACTGATATTTTCTAGTTCCCATAGGTATGATTTCAAGTTGCATGTCTTTACTTGTAATTATGGTTTAAAACAGGATTGAGCATCAGCTTTGATTCTAGAGTGCTGTTTTTTTTTTTCCATTTTGAACTTAAAAGTCAATGTCATTCCTGAGAGAAAAACTGCATAAATGCATAAATTGAAGTGTTTTCTGATGAACAGATACTCTTCATTTCTGTAGACCAAAAAAAAAATAATAACTGTTGAATGTATTTTCTAGTTTACAGTTTACAGATTCTTGTGAGTTTCACATATGGTTGTATTCATTTAGCCTATTGTGTGTCAGATACTTATCTGAGAACTGAAAATATTTTGCCTAAGAAATACACAAGTTCTTGCTTTTAAGTAGAGTATAGGTAGTGGAAAAGATAGAAAAACACATAAGCAAAATGAAATTTATAATTACAAAGTGTTCGATGCCACCACCAACTGAACTGTCTTGTATAGTAAGGAATGAGCTAGAAACCATCTGAAGAGTTCAGAAAGAGGTGCCTGATAAGGGTGAGTTTTAATTCAAAGGTAGAAAAATAAAAAGAAATTGGTAGAAATATGTATAATAATAGTATGGTATGAGACAATTTACTCCAGTCCTTTATTTTCATGAGTATCATATGGGAAACCATTTTTGAAACCAACATTGGAATTGCAATGGTCTTGCTGTAGCTGATATGCTTTTGTCTTACAGCTTTTCTTCAGAATCAAATGCCAAGTGAAAGGAGTACCTATTTTCTATCAGTAGGTTGGATAAGTTGTACACTGCAACCTGGAATCAATTGTAAATCTGACAGCCTCGTAGAATGTTCCGTTCACTTTAAACTGCCTCTGAGAGAACACAAGGGAGTTCTGAATAGTCTAATCACTTTTTACAGAAGGCACCTGTGAGTTTGCTAATTTGCCTCCGAGGAAGTCCGTGAAGAGGGAGAAGAGAACAGACGGCACTCAGTCGCTGAAGTAGGTAAACTGCTGTTTTTCACTTGTTTTCTCTTTATTCATCGTTTTGCAAGAGGAGCTATAAATTGCCTAGTAAAAAGGATATTTAGAATGTTTTATTCTGTTTTTTTTTTTTAATTTTAGTTTTATTCCTTAGAATCTGTGTGGTCTTGGAGAATATATTTGTCTATGCAAAAATAATTCAGAGACTTAGCGATGCTCCAGAATGAAGCATCATTATTTAATATGTTAAACAATTTCAAAGGTTAAAAGGCTTTGCTGTGTCAATAGGGTTTTGATACATAGTACACTTATCAGGGATATCCTAAAGGAACTACCGGTGATAATACTCTGGGCGCTAGTGAAGGAGAAACTCGGATTCTCACTTCTGTTAATAATGTAAACAAAAAAAGAACACACACACACCCCTAAGTGAGCTTCAAAAAGTTTGTGAATAAATGGAACAAAAGTTTAAGATAATTTTGGTATAAAAAATGTGAAGTCCATGTGTAGGTTTTTTATAATTCTCATTTTATATGAACTTTTTTGACAGCCTTTCAAATATATATGTATGCACACACAGATATAGAAATACACATACGCACACACATACACTCATACATGTATGTACACCTCCATGCACAAATGTACAGGTATCTACTACTTTGCTGCAGGTTACTTTATTGCACTTTGGAGATACTGCGTATTTTACACTTTGAAGTTTTGTGACAACTCTTCTTTGTCTGAGTCCACCAGTGCCATTTTCCTAAAAGCCTATACATAACTGATGTCTCTGTATAACCTGATGGTAATTCTTTTTTTTTTTTTTTTGGAGAGATTTTCGCTATAGGGGTCGTGCACTCGCGACAGACAGAGAGAAACATAGAGACAGAGAGCAAGAAATCACCCCCAAGGGGCGATGGTCATGCCACAATCCCTTCTCCTCCATTCTCGTCTTGGGATCTTGGGCATGCATGCACCCATGCCTGGTGTGAGTTTTAAGCCACCGGGTCCGGGACGTGAACTGCGGTCGACTAAGTGGGAGTCCAGCGACATAGCCATTATGCTAACTGCTGGTTCCCCTGATGGTAATTCTTACAGTATTTCAAACTCTATTATTATTGTATGTTGTGGAGATCTGTGACAATGATCATTGGTAGCACTATTGAAATTGTTTTGGGACATCATGAACTGTGTCCATATAAGATAATACCTGCCTGTGTTAACTTTTGGGTACTGGTTTGTCCCTCAAAGTTTCATGTTTTGGAATTTGGTCTTGGGAGGTGGTGATGCCTAGTGGTGCTGATTGGATCAGGTCACTGCTGATGGTTGCAACACTACTATGGACAATGATATCTGCCAAAACCCAGGGAATTCCAGCTCTGGTAAGAAGGGGCTAGTTTTCATGAGAGCTGGTTGCTGAAAGAGAAAATCACACAGAGCTTGCTCTCTCTGCACACACCTGCCGTCATCTGTGCTTCCGTCGGCCATGCTGTAGCCTACACCTTTGGAATTTTCAGTTACCAGAATTGTGAGTTTTGCAAATAATCTTCCATTCTATTAAATTCACCCAGCCTAGGACCAGCGGGTGGCATGGTGGTTAAGGCGCTGGACTCCCACATGGCCAAGTGCAGCTAGAGTCCTGGACCTAGTGGTTTGAAACTCATGCCAGGCATGTTTGTGTGCATGCCCAAAGTGCTGAGAAGAGTTTGGGGGAGAAGGGATAGCAATATGGCCACCCACCTTGGGAAGTGATTTCTCACTTTTCTACTCTCTTTGTTTGCCTATCTGTCTCTCTCTGGAGAGCTCACTCGCCTTATGACAAAAACCTAAAAATAAGGAAATTCACCCATTCTTAGGTATCTGTTAGCAATGCAATAACAACCTCTGATTGTTTGTACATACCTAAATGCATGTACCTAAATACCTATATTTGTGGATATATATATATAATATTATATATATATATACACATATATATGTAATAATTTAAAAAACATTGTGTAAATAATTTTCAACATCCATATTATTTTCATGAATAAACTTTATTTCTTCTGAAACTATATGCTTTGAAAAAGTAATTCAAAGAAGAAAATTTTTAATTTATTAAGATAAGGATGCTTCCTTATGATAATAAAGTCTTAGAAGCTGTTCAAATGCCCAACAATCAAAGCCTGGAAATTTTGTTTATTTTAATCTGTGCAATATTTTGTCAACCATGAAATAAAATTATGGAGACTATAGGACAAAATTGGAAAATATTTAAGCTAAAATGTTAAGTGATGAAGAGGAAGAGACAATTACATAATTTTCTCATTGTTTTCTCCTTATTCACTGAAATCACTCTCTTTTCTGTATTCCTTATCTTATTGAACTTTATTACCATAAAACACTGAATGAAGAATGTAGAAAACTTGGTTCCTTAATATTTCTCTGTCTGATACAGTTTACCTTCTCTGCTTCCACAGGTTTTGCTGTACTATATGTTCCTAAAATAGCCAGCTTAATGTTCCATCTTGCCATCTCCAGTTCTCCTTTCTCTAACAAGTGTATTCCATTCTAACACAAATGAGATCGTTTTAGGGCTTTGCTTAAGAGTTTTGAGAATCTTCCAGCATATATGGGATTAAAAGCCTCATCTCTTTTTCATTTCATTAATGGTAACAAACATGAACTTGCCATTTTTTTTTCTCCATATGTCTACTGAAGATTTTAAGAGTTGAGAGAGATTTTGTAACTTTTGGTACAAGAAAAAAAAAAAAGGTTATATCAAATTAAGGTCAGAGGTGATATACAAGATTTTGACTGTAATTACCCATGTAGAATATTTTGACAATGCCATCTATATAGCCTATTTTTTTAAAAAGAGAACTACATAATCTTAATATGTAAATATTTTTTGAATAAGAATACAGAAGGTATAAAAAGACAAGTTTTAGATTATTAATATGACAGTGGTTATGTTAAACATGTAGTGATTTATCATTAAATTATTACATTTATTTAACTTTCAAATATTTTTTAAGAAATAAGCCTGAGAAGGTATGTTTCTTGGTTTAAAAAGTTGGGTGTAGTGACATGCGCCTATTATATTCCCAGCTAGTAGGAGGCTGAGGGAAAAGATGATCTAGTAAGACCCTGGTTTTAAAAAAAATAGTTAGGGCCTAGACTGTAAAGAATAATACAACATCACTGATCATTTTTATGTTTTGAATTAAGGATTAGTGAGAAGAGAAATTTTTGCTTGCATCCTAGATTTCTCAGTTCGATTCTCTGGGATAATAAAATAAAATAATCTGGGCCAGCGGGTGGTGTAGTGGTTAACATTCTGCACTCCCAGATGACAAACCGTGGTTCAAGTCCCAGACCTGGCAGCTTGAAAATCACGCTAGTCATACATGCCCAAAATCCTAAGACCAGAATGGAGGCCATCCTCTCTTGGGAGTGATTTCTCATTTTCCCTCTCTCTGTCTTTCTCCAGTGAGCATATGCATAAATACCTTAAAAAGAAAGAAAAGAATTTAAGACAGATGCTCTGCAGAATACCAAATGTACTGTAGAGTGGAAGGTAATTTAAATTTTAATTTTTTTACGTAATTATTAGTAGATAACTAACAGAATAGAAGAGAATAATTTGGAGTAGCTTGCATTTCCTTAACCTTGCGCTGAGAGACAAGATACTGAGAGATTTTGCCTGCTCAGCATTAGGCCTTGAAACTGGATGTAAAAGAGTTAGCTGAGCTAAACCGCATGGTCATCATTACCTTTAGTCCTTGAAAGACAGAGTAAAGACTTCAGGCTGTTCCTAAATTCACATAAATGGAGCTAAAACATCTGCTCCTAGGGAGGCTAGGAGGAAAAATTGATCGGATGTACAGTTATCATTTGAATCTGCATAAAATTAAAACATTTAATCAATAGGTATTGAATAAGTAATTCGTAGATGGTCTGCTAAAGGAGAAATATGTTGCTGGCATATTCTTTTAGAAAGGTTAAGTATTGTCTTTTTCAATCTCTTTCAAGAACAATTAAAATTTTAATTAACAGAACCCTACTTTATTTGGCAAGAATTTTAAGCACCCATTTAGGAAAATGACTCTATTTACCAGTTACGACTGGGCCTGTTTGGCAAGTATTATGGAGAAAGGAGGCGAAAAGTTAAATTGCTTGCAGATAGATGCCACATTCAACTTTTCTTGATATCCTTACCCTATAACTTTTCTTTTGCTTCTATGATGTTGTACTCTTTTGGTTGCATAAAATATATAGAATACAGTGTTGAGTATTAAATGAATAATTAATTTGAAATAAATTTTCCATATTATTCATATTCCATGGTTGATATAATTCTGTGCTTTGCGCCATTCCTGCATGTTATATTATCCTTATTTTTTCAATCCTTTATTATTATTAACACAAGTAATAGAAATGAACTAAATGATTAGTAAACAGTAATTTTATAGAGCTAGAACATGCATGCTTATGATTAGTTACTGCATAATAGATTATCAATTTAAATAGTTGAACATCTAAAAGTTCTCAATTAACAACCATTGATCATGTGACTCCCTCTGTATTTTTCCACTATGCTTTATTATTTGAATCAGTTGAGATTCAGCCAGCCAAGTATCTCTTCTCTATTTAGCACTCTCAGTAAACTAGGTAGGTCTCCATGTCTCCCAGAGAAATACTTTCACCATTCCAGTCACCCAATGTATAATGATATTGGTTTACTTCTGCTCTTTTTGCAAAGCTAAGTTCATAAATTTTCTAGTAGCTTGTTTATTCATGGACAGACAATTAGATAATTAGACATACTCTTTATTTACCACATTTTTACCCTTTTCATTGCACTTCTTTATCTTTCACATTTCTGGTATAATTTCCCTAC